CATAAGGACAGTCCCTCTCAGTGACGCCGTGGCCGAGAGAGCTGAAGGAGAAGAGGGAGGAGCATCCGTTCCTCCTGCAGTGACCCCAGGACTAACGGGTCAGTCACCGTTCACTGTCCAGCTGCCACCCACGACTTGCTGGATGGAGCTTCCACATCACTTCCTGGGAGGAAACTTTCTCTTTGTTTTAAGAAAGTGGTTCCCTCATTTTCAGTCCACCTGAAATGTTTTTCTTGACGGGAGATGTGGGGCCTAGAATACTATTTAAGAATACTGGAATTTCAGGAATAAATGGTCATTTGCTCTTTGTGCCACCCTCCAGCCTTTGGGGACTCTGCTAGGTCCCCCAGCTTTGCCTAGTCCCCTCGGCCTGGCCCACACCTCCGCGCCTACCCTTTCTCCATCAGGTCCCCTGTACTATGGGAGTGGTGAGAACAAGACTTAGCATGAAATGAAATCTTTTGTTCCTTCTCTAGCACAATCGTATCTATACTGATTCAGTACAAAACTAGAAAAAGAAAGTTCTAACTTAATTAGGAAAACCATTAGCCATGTACTACATTGCCCTGATGAGGTTCTAGGCAGAAAGACAGAGATTCGCAGCGTTCATGCTTCTCCTGCTTCACATTGGTGCAGCCAACCTCCACAGGCACGGCATCTTGTGCTCCAAGCTGCGTCCTGGCAGCTGACTTGTTAGTACAAGGCTTTGACTGTCGTTTCCCATTGAAATGAGAGGTTTTCAAGATTTCTGTCACATCATTAATAACTTCATTCAAAGATCACACATCTTTACTTCAAATAAAGCATTCAACCACGTCGTCAACATGTTGTTGACCCCACTTACAAACAGCCTGGGACAGTTCGGCAGAAGTGTGAGTGATTGCTTGTCACGTCTCTACTTTCAAAATACTTTCTATATGTTGCTAATTATCTTCCCACAGCTGCACAAAGAAGGCGTAGAAAAAAGATGCATCCGTGTCTTGGAAATAATTTCATAAAATACATGGATATAAGTATATGCCCAAGAGACACATACTTTTTGCGTATTAAATTCTAAAACAAAATGATTAGCTCTAACCTTTCATACAATAGTCCTTAAATGAGAGATTCTATACTATTATCCCAAGGCAATTATTTCATATCTAAAGGTTAAATATTTGGTTTTCTTATTTAAATTTATAAAAAACTGAATATTGATCTGATTGGTTCTGTCAAGTGGTTCAAACAGAAGCTCCAACACCCTCTCCACCTTCAGAGAGCAGGATGCAGCTGATGGTACTGGGAAAGTTTCCGTTCTTTGTATAGTCTTTAGCTATGTTAAACTATCACTAAAAATTTACTGAGCAGGCCATGCGTGGTGGCTCACGCCTGTAATCCCAGCACTTTGGGAGGCCAAGGCAGGTGGATCACCTGAGGTCAGGAGCTCGAAACCACCCTGGCCAATATGGCGAAACTCCGTCTCTACTAAAAATACAAAAATTACCCGGGCATGGTGGCATACACCTGTAATTCCAACTACTCCAGAGGCTGAAGCAGGAGAATTTCTTGAACCTGGGAGGCGGAGGTTGCAGTGAGCCGGGATCGTGCCACTGCACTCCAGCCTGGGCAACAAGAGCAAAACTCCATCTCAAAAAAAAAAAAAAATTTTACTAAGCAGCTCTTAGGGACCTAGCATTTGACCCAGCCGTCCTATTATTAAACTCAGAAAAGTCTTCCTTTTCAGCCCACGGCTAACGACAGACTGTGAATCACCCACGGTACTTGTTCCGTCCTATCAATTGACTTGTAAGCATCATTTTAAAAATGATAAAAATCTTGAACCAACGGACAGGGTTTAGCAGAGCTGGTAAGAACAATAGTGGCCCCACCAACATGTGGGGCAAAGAGCAGGCAAAATACACAGAAGGGAAAAAGCAAAAATAAACTGAAATATGAAATCAACAGTAACACCCACCTACAACTTCCTCTTGCTTCTCCATCCTGTATTACCTGGAAAGCCCTTCCGGAGTTTCCCATTTTTTTAGCCTCCTTTCAGTATTTTAGTTTCAGAGTTTTCTGAGTTTTATAAAAAGTATTTAATCTCAGAAGAAAAAAATGCCACTGAATACATACATTTAGATTTGCCAAACGTTGTAATCTGCTTCTATTTATCTTGATGTTCTTGGGAAGAGACTGAATGAGATCATTTTAAAACTTTTCCAGTAAAAATATAAATGTGATTCAATTAGACTTTTATTCCTGAATGCGGGTTATCTTTGAGTTCATTTACCTGTATTATCTTAACTTTGTGGGGGCAGAGGGTATGGAGAGAGAGAAAGAAAAATGTGACAACCTTGAAATTCAAAGCTCTGTTTATCTCGAGAACGATACGTCAGAGTTCTTTCAATGTCCAGAAATTATTTCAGTGTTCTAAAAAAAAATTACCGGAAGTGCAGAAAGCTCATCCTTGTAAAAATTATTATACCTTTAGTTTGCTTCCTGCGAAAAGGTCAGAGGGCCTAGATCCAATTAATGGTAAAAATCTACTTCAGTCCACGACATAATTTAGTAGTGACTACATTTTATTATTCCTCCAGTCTGTTGGAGACAAAAGCTACTCCGGTGCTGTGTTATCTAAACCCATTTATAAAGGGACTCATTATATGGTCTAAATCCCTACAAATAAAACCAAAAAAAATTCTACGGGTTCTCTTACAGTGGAATTTTGTTGTAACAAATAAACTGTTAAAACCACATTCCTGATCTACAAGACAAAGAGAGGCAATAGACGAATCCCTGGGTTCCTACGGTAAATTAGTAATTAAAATGAAACACTTTGTACCCAGGAGAACAAGAGGGCACCATGCAAACGTTTCTCCTTCTCTGGGATCTGAGGGCAGCTCTATGTGTGTCTTTGCTGTTGGTAACCGAGGAGCTGAAGTGAGTTTTCCTGGCTGGAATGGTTGGAATTCTTAAAGTGGCAAGAGGCAAAGTCAGGATAGCAGAGTAGAAAAATCACAAAACTCAGCAACAATAGGTCAGCTCTAAGGCCCTTTCAGCTTACAAAGTAAACTGCTATACAGAGCTTCTAAGAACGAGGTGTTCTCTGATTAAGACGAAGCATTTTAGCCAAGGATCATCTAACACCAACTGTTCACTGAGCTGGAGGGGCACTGCACTCTATGAAATTTCTCTGCAGTGGTTTCTGTGTAATGATGTTTTACCTGAACTGTAGGTCCCAACAAGACACCAGGGCAAAGCCCCAATGACTGGCAGGTGTGCTGTGCCAGGAGGGTGGCACCGCAAGGATGTCTCGGTCCTGACAGTAACGGTCATCATGGCATGCACATGACAGCTTCTCATGCCCAGGCCCTGGATGGGATGGGCCCCCACAAAAGGCTTCTCAGGGTTCTTTCTGTGCTCTCAGCCTTGAACTCAATACCACTAATGTGGCCCAACAGAAAAACCACTCCCCAGTCCACAGTTCAGCAGACTAGCAGGGAGGGCTGGGGCTGGGGCCCGCCCAGTCGCTCCATCCGGGTCAACAGAAGCCCCGCCTCCACGAGCCCTGCTCAGCTCCCCTCAATCATGGCTACCCTCCAGCGGGCTCCAGGGCCCTCAGACATCCTCCCTCATCTCCCAAAACTTGCCGCTCCAGCCATCCTGTCCAGTTTCTATAGTTTGGATGTCTGTCCCCACCAAACCTCACATTGAAATGCCATCTCTGGTGTTGGAGGTGGGGCCTGGTGGGAGGTGACTGGATCACAGGCGTGGTTTCTCGTGAGTGGTTTAGCACTGTCCCTGGTGCTGTTCTCGTGATAGTGAGGGAGCTCTCCCGAGATCTGGTTGTCTAAAAGAATGTGGCAGCTCCCCGCTCTCCTGCTCCTGCTCCCGCCAGGTAAGACCTTCCTGCTTCTCCTTCACCTTCTGCCATGACTGTAAGTTTCCTGAGGCCTCCCCAGAAGCCCAGCAGATGCCAGCACCGTGCTTCCTGTACAGCCTGCAGAGCCATGAGCCAATTAAACCTCTTTTCTTTCTAAATTACCTAATCTCAGGTATTTCTTTATAGCAGTGTGGGAACATCCTAACTTGCCACACTCACTGTGGACTCATTGCCTTGGCCTAGTCTCCATCTTTATCCTGTTTTCTATGGTTCTCCGCATGGAGTTGACAGTAAGCAAGACTCCAGGACACTGGAATCACAGACCGACATCCTTCATTCTGAGGGCTGCAGGATCATGTAGTTGAGATGGAGAACAGTTCAGCAAGATGTTCCTTTGAGACTCACTGCTAACACCAGAACTAAGTTGTTGAGGACAGAGCCAGGCAGCGAGAATACAAGGAACATCTGGAACCCGCAGCGGTGCCTCTCTGGGCCTCCCCTGCACGCTGAGGAAGACACCAACGCAAGCGCCAGCAGCAGAAGGTGAGAAAATTTCTTGGCAGCACGGGGCCCTTCCTTTCTTCTCTCCTTTGTCTCTGCCCTTTGCTGAGAAAAAGCCTCTTCAGCAATCACTCATTGCTTCCCAGCCCATAGAGCAAGGACACGCCACTTGGCTCACTCCTTCAGAAGCTTTAAAACAAGACCCACATCCTAAAAGGCCTGAGAAGAAGGAAAAAGCAGAAAAAAAGCTGAAAGCTGACGTGGGATCCCAGTTCCAGGAGCTGCTCTCACTCTGCCAGGCCTGGATGTGGTATGAGCCTCTTTCCATCTGATTTGTCTTTTGTTCCAGGACCTGGCCTATTAAGTGCTTGTGAATGAAGAGAACTGATATTCACTAAATTCCTACTATGTGCTGAGGAGTACTCCACATTCTTTCCATAGCTCATCTTTACCAGTGGAAGTGAAGGGATGAGGTCGCCCAAGGTCAGAAAGATTGCAGGTGGCACAGCTTGGCAAGGTTTGTAAGTGTGGGGATTGTAGTAGAAGACCTAGCCCGGTACAAACTTAGAACACACTTCATCAATACTCATCGAATGATTGAGGCAATAATGGCCAAATAATAGAACAAAGGACTTAGTTCTGTTCCCATACTAGAAGACACATGGACCTTTATTCCACCTCAATAGGGAGGGGGTAGGAGAGACTTGAGGCTTTGTGGTGGTGAAGACATGGCCTCTACATGAGCAGAGTTAACATGCAGGTGCACTGACATAATACTCCCCATCGTGGAGACCATTACCACACATGCCTATGTTCCTTATTCTTGAGGATTTTAAACCTTCGGAAAGACAAACCCATGGAGACATTACGTGCTCATTCACATCCCTGCCCTGTTTCCAAAGGATCATCATGTTCTGCAGATTCTACTTCCAAAATGTCTTTGAACCTGGCCCACCCTGGGCCCTCCCTTCCTGATTCCACTGGTCAAAGCCTCTCACAAATGAACTCATGTCTCCTCACTTACTACCGACCACGACATCCCCATTGCCCGGCACAATGCCTGACACACAGTAGGTGCTCATTAAACGTCTTTGGATGAGTGATTGAGGGAATGAAGCCATCTCCTGGTCCTAAGTGCTTTGCCTGTCATTCCTTCCTCCTTGCTGCTGTGGAGTCTTCTTTCTAAAGCACTCGTCTGTCTTGAGAACGGAGGGCTGAGAAATATTTTTCTCTGAGAAAGAAAAGACACTTCTTAATCTCAAAATATATGTTCAGCAAGAGGAATATTTTTACAAAAATAAAGGATAAGCTGAAAGAATGTGAGCAGAAGCTGTAATTTCAGCAGTGGCATTTACCCCGTTTGTTTGAAGCATTGGCAGTGTATATTACCCTGCATTAGCTGCAAGGATAAACAGTGTTTTCAGATTCAAATATGTCAATTACAACATTCCTGGATATCGGAGGTCTTTTCCTGTTCCATTTCTTATGCTGTTCCTCTCAGAGTTCAAATCAAACCTCCAAAAACTGTTGTTGTTGTTGTTGTTGTTCATCGTGAGCTCAGCATGGCTAATCTTAATTTTACTACTCTTGTGAAAACAACCAAAACCAAATTTGCCTTGATAAGAAATACTCATCATACAAAAATGTCATATGTTTTTATTATCTGTTCACATAAAAATAATACTGGTAAGGTCAGAGGTAAAAAAGTAAACGTAAATCTTAAACATAGTTTCTGAACTGCCTTGTCACTGAGAATTAAAAATCCTCTAGCAACCTAACCCTCTCCATCTGACATTATTTTTTTGTGACTATTCCTCTAGTGAAGTAAGTCACTAACGCTTTAGTGTAAGTTACTCCTACTAAATCACTTTTCTACAGGTTAAAGGGAAGCACAACAGAGAAACTGTAAGGCAGGTGGTGCAGACGTCCAGATTTTGCCCAGGACAGCCTAAGCAGAAAGCTGTTTCCCTCACCTCCCTCCAAAGTCAAGAATTGAGAAGGAAGATGGCCTTCCAACTCCAACCACTGATGAGAATAAATTCCGGAAAAACCTATTAAATATAGCCTTTGACCCTTCTGTCCACAGCTGGAAACATTACACAAATTTTAGTGAGCCCAGAATGCCAGCAGCCATAATTCCCAAATTCATTTTTAAAATAATGAACTGATCCAGGCAAAGGACCTGCGGCTTGGCGCCATCTGGTGCCTGTGTGGAGAAAGAACGTGCCATCGAGGCTGCAGTGCTGAGTCTCTTTGTTAGTCCAAGTGGGGAACGCTTTTTAAAAACACAACCGTTGTCTTTCATCACAGTAAATCCTAAAGTGCTACTAACAACAAACGCAGTCTGAAAATAAACTTGAAAATTATTTATAATTTTTCCAACGATGATCTTATTTTGAGAGGGAATACGTTAAGTTCTGCTGATACCAACCCTGGGCTCTTACAACATAGTGACTTCTACTAACTCTTTCTATGTGCCTATGTTTTTTAAATGATAAAAGCATTTTCCACAGGGGGATGGCAGTGAACTTTCTTTGTCATTGAAATGTACAGCACAAGTAAGAACTTTTTCAAACACCATTCCTAAGGCAACAAGATGCTGCTTCCTAAAAGATATATTTAAGGGCCTAAATCTAAAGTTGATTTGAAAATTGGAAAAAAAAATTGAAAATGTTGATTATCCAAAATAATTAGGGAAATAAAACTGCAAATATCTCAGAGTAGAATAATTTTACTTCCCAAAATATGGGCCTCATTTCCTAGTTGTTTCTGCCTGCAAAGGAACAGAACGAAAAGGCCGAAGCTCAGGGTCACCCGGGCTTCCTCAGCCCTGGTTGGATACATTCATCTGCACGCTCAGAACCACGCTGACACCCATGAATGGAGATGAGTCACTGCGTTTACTAAGTTGTGGTTAAACATAGAAGGGTTTACTTCGCTTGTTTCATCCTTGCTTCTAATTTCTTCTTGACTTCAGTTCATCGTACAAACAGCCACCGAGTTAACTCTTCTCCAAGCAGTAGTTGGCTCCTGGGATGATGCTGACCCGCCATCCTGTTTCATCAGTTTTCTGCATGATTCACCCATATTCTTCCACACAAACCTAGTATTTCAGCCCAACTGTCATAGGAGGTGGCTTCCAAATACATCATAGACCTTCTTACCTGGTATTCTTCCTTTCTAGAATATTCTCTCCCTTCCTGTCTCATTACCTAATGCCTCCAGGCTCCCGTTCAAGTCCCATTGTTTCCCTAAACACTTTCTGCAGGGGCTCCAAGTCATGATCTCTCCATTTTCCTCAATGTGGGTAATAGACTCTACACATTCATTTGGGAATTTCTGTACAGGGTTGATATTTTTATTTTTGAATTACACATGATTTTCCCAGCTAGACCATGAGATTATTCAATTTAGGAGCTATTTTATAGGTTTGCAAACTAAACGTTTTACAGTGTCCAATGATGATAACTAATACTTATTGGCAGTTGTTACCTAATTGCTATGTTTTAAGTGGTTTATCTAAAAACTCTTTAGGTAGACCCTATTATTTCCTTCACTTTAAAGATGAGGAAACTGAGCAAAAAAGGTAAAGCCACTGAGCGGGAACATAACAGAGCTAGAATCCCACCCAGTTCTGCCTGCTCTGCAACCCACGTCTGCGCTGCCATGTGAACCTACACCTCAGTACAGGCTCACGGAGACGGCAATCAGTGACAGACAGCAGGCTTGTGCGTGTTTAACAGAGAAGGCTGAGGACAAGCAATGCTAATCAACACTTCAGGCACAGCCACAACCTCCAGTCTCCAGCCACAGCCACGCAGCCACACACCACACACTACTACCACTGTCCACACACAATCCCTGCGGCTCACCACACACAGAGGGGGGCACTGGTCTGAGGGAGGAAGCATGCCAGGGGTCTCAGCCTCACGTCACCCACTGACCAGGTGCTAACCTCAAATGACTGACTCCACCTCTCTGACCCCCAGCTTTCTCGTTCCTATAATGGAGCTAATCATGCACCCTGTGCAGGGTGGCCTTGAGGGTTAAAAGAAACCCATACAAGGAATGTCAGAAGCAATATCCCCAAGGCAGCTGGTCACTGGCAGTTTCTGTTAGTCTGCACAGCAGGTCTGGCATCGCCCTTGAGCTATAAACCAACCGTAGACTGCAGCCCCCAAGTCTGCAGGATGGACGGCCCGCAGGCTCATCGCGACCACTCCCCATGCTCCTGCCACACTGAGCTCTGTCTCTTGACACCCTTAAAGCTGCTTACTGCCCCAGGAATAACCTCATTCCTTCAGGACGTGGCCTGGCCCATTTCCCTTGCTTCCCACGTGCAATGTGCCTTTCTGGAATGCCTGTCCACTCAGCAGATTCCTACTTATCTGGATGACTCAGCCCAAAGCCAGCTCCTCCCAGGAGCGTCCCCAAGTCCCTAAGCAGGGTCAGCACCCCCCCCCCCGCCCCCGCTGCCGCCATGCTCAGGCAGCTCCTTCCTCCATTTTGATCTTATTTCATGCCTGATCAACCTCATTGATGTGTCCTGAGTCCTGGGCTGTAGGCTCTTGAGGGCAGAGTTCTCATGCTTGCCTGGTACAAGGCGCTCAGTAAACACTGATGGAATGAATGCACGAACGCACAAGCAGATGAGAGAGAAGGGAAGAAAACAACGAGAAGAGATGGAGACGGAGAGAGCATGAGAAGGGAAGAAGGAAGAACAGGAAGAGAAGGGACGCGGCCTAGGACCTGAAGACAGCAAGTGGGCACACTGGCATCCCCCCAACTTATAGGGTCCACATGGGCGACACTCATGCTTTGTGTCCTCAGGGACCCATCAGTGCCCTACTCAGGCAGAGGAGAATCCTAAATCCCACCTTCCTTCTCCTCCAAAAGAAACCACTCTGTGTCCACCCCTCATGGTGCCAGATTCCTCTAGAGGAGGTGGGAAAAGTGGCTAATGAGTTTGAATTCAACATGGCTTTGAGAGCACCAAAAATCCACACCAGGTTTTTCTCTCTGCAAAGCCCTCTGTCTCCTCCAAGCAACCCACTTACGACTTCCCCAGGGAGTGAGTTATGGGGCCAAAGTCAACCCACTTCTATCTCCAACCCCTGCCCACAGCACGTCCCTGCATGGGGAAACGCACAGACAACAGGAAGGTTTAGCAGGGCTGTTACAAAAAGGGTTTCAGAAAATTATATTGAGAGGCTTTGCTGTCTTCAACCACCTATAAGGCCACCTCATTTTTAACTTTAGGGGGGCATCATCCATTTTTCTGTATAATTTTTAAAGCTTCGTCCAGCAGCAGGTTCATGATCAGGCAGCCTCTCTCAGGTCCCAAGAATACCGTGGGGCAGCACACAGGGCTTCCAGCCCAGAATCCCTGTCTGTGACCACAAGGGTTTGCTTTCCTTTGTGAAATGTATGTCACTCTCCTTCTCAAGAAACTTCAGCAGGGGAAAGCTCAAAGCTTTTCCTCTAAGATCAGAAATAAGACAAAGATGTCCACGCTCACCACTTCTACTCAATGTAGTACTGGAATTCCTAGCCAAAGCAATTAGGCAAGAGAAAGAAAGAAAAGACATTCAAATTGTAAGGAAAGAAGTTAAATTATTGTTGTTTGCAGACAACGTGATCATAACTATGGAAAACCCTAAAGACTCCATCAAAAAACTCTTAGAACTAATAAATGAATTCAGTAAAGTTGCAGGATATAAAATCTACATACAAACATCAGGACCCTTTTTATACACTAATGGGGAAATACTTGAAGAAGAAATCAAGAAAACAACACCACTTTTTAATAGCTACAAAAAATAAAATAATTGGAGACAAATTTAACCAAGGAGGTGTAAGATCTCTACACTGAAAACTGTAAAACATTGATGAAAGACACTAAAAAGGAAATAAATGAAAAGATATTCATGTTCATGAATTAGAAGAATAAATATTGTTAAAATGTCCGTATAACCCAAAGTGATGTACAGATTCAATATAATCCCCATCAAAAATATCAATGACATTCTTCACAGAAATAGAAAAAAATATATATAAAATTTATATGGACCCACAAAAGAACAGCCAAAGTTATCCTGAGCAAAAAGAGCAAAGCTGAAGGCATCACATTACCTGACTTCAAAATATACTACACCGCTGTAGTAATCAAAAGAGCGTGGTGCCAGCATAAAAACAGACACACAGACAAATAGAACAGAATAGAAAGCCTAG